GGAAAAATTAATAATATTCAAAGTTTAATGGCACCTTCTTTGACATTGATAAGTCATAAAGCCCTGAAGACAAAATGCTGAGTCCAAGGTTGTTCTTTTGCAACAAAGCTCTGGTTTCTTCCCATTCACACTGTCTGAACTCTCCCTCCTTGCGTGTCCCTCTCTGTGTCACTGTCACCATCTAATCCACAGTTCTTCTCTTCTTTCCTCTTTCTGGGCCTCTCAAGTGAATGTTCTTTTCTTCAATTTTCTCAAGAAAAGAACAATCACATTATAAAACTGCCAGACCTAAAGACTGAAGTACAGAAGCCGAATTTAAGTAATGGTCTAGAGCTAAGTTAAGGGATACAATTAAGGATCTTTAAACCTCAGCAAGATGGAAATCTGAAAAATTTGACATTTTATTAGATATTTACTCTTCTGGACCATGAAATCTATATCAAATATTCCATTTGACTTTTAGTTTTCTCAGATGTGGAAAATGACTAAAAGCACAGGATGGGAAAGACAAAGAGAATTTAAATAACACAGCGTTGCATTTAATAATGTTGCAATTTAATAATGGCCATCAGAGGGCAAGAAAAATAGGTAGTCTGTCACATTAGACCATTGTAGAAGCCTTTACCATAGAGAGAATTGAGTAAAGATCTAAAATTTCAAACAAATAAAGATGAATTAATGGGTGACTTAAAACACAGATTCAAGCATAGTTACTTAAAAATAATGCATTGTATATCACAAAATAGTTGCGAGAGAGGATTTTGAATGTGCTTACCACAAAGAAATGATAAAGGTTTAAGGTGTTGGATATGCTTATTTCTCAGATTTGATCATTATCCAATTATACATGAATCAAAATACCACACTGTATCTTGTAAATAAATACAAATATTATGTGTTAATTAAAAGACAAAGTTAAAAAAGAATAGATTCTAGGAATCTTTCAAGAAGTATTTGGGTTAGATCTAGGAGCCCAAGTAATGAGATTTTTGCTTTCTCTTTTTGTAAATGAGTTTAGACCTGAAATAGAAGATTTAGTCATAAGTAAATAAAGTGGAATGGAAAATTGCCAATTTAAAAGATCTCCTATATATGGCTGAATATCTTAGAAAGTAAATAAGCTAGAAGTGAAATCAAGCTTCTAGAAATAACAATTGACCCTTGAAATGAAAAAGGACAAGGGCAGTAAAAATATCTCTGAATAAAGAAATCTGTAGACATTTGCAAGTGGAAGGACCATTAGAAGAACTACTGTTCCATATTAGCAAGGAAACAAAAATGAAGACATCCTAAACCTGACCTCCAGTCGTCTCACTGGAGGGAAACATTGGCGCACTAAAACGTTTCCCTCTTCTAAACTTCCAAGCAGAGTTATGTAGAAATACCAGGGATAAAAATGCAGTTTTCTTGCTAATATATGTATAACTAACCATACCCGCTATGAAGTCCACTGGCTGAGAACATAACCCCTGTAGTGAAATGTTGCAGTGGTCTGAAACACAAGAGGACATGCAAATCAATGGATAGTGAGTACAAAAAGTGGGAAAAGGGAGTAGTTTTATATTAAAGTAAAACAACCTGTAGCGAATATGAATATATTTCAAAGGGTAAGCAGTCAGTTGTAGAAAGACAGGAAGTAAACTTTATTTGCCTTGGTTTACTGAAACCACCTAAGCAATAGAAATTTCTAACAGTCTTCAGTTCTGTCTTGTGTGTCACCTGTTACTTTGGGATCAGAGGACACATTCTTTCTTCTCTGTGACATAACCTTTATAAATTTAATAAGGGATCTACCTCATACATAAAATGACAGATATAATGTACTGAAGGAAGCATATTTTTAGGAGGTCCTTAAAACTTTCATACATATGATTAGGTTATAGATGATGTATATTTTTGATCTAAGAAGTAACTAAAGAATTACCTAATTCCAGTGGCACCAGTCTGTGATATAGGCAGAAAATTGAACAAAGTCTCAATAATCAGACTGATTTTTCTCATATCATTATAAATCTTCCTTTTTGGATGTATATGAAATGTGCAGCTATACTATGGGAGTATGAGCTCAATAATATGTAGAAAACCATTACCTCCTATTATGATAGAGCTTTTTTTTTTGGTACTGGGGATCGAACTTGGGTCCTCACACTTGCGTAGCAGGCAGCGAAACCACTGAGCTAAATCCCCGGCCCCTATGATAGAGCTTTTGGTCTAGTGGCCAAGGCTTATCGTTCTTGCCACAGAGCAATTGCAAGCTGGGCTAGATTAATCAAGGCATCTTTAAATCTTGGACAAAGATCACTTTCAGATCTGATGGAACCATCCCTATTACTCACTGGGAACATTAATTTCTGTTACACAACTAACTATAAAATGTTACTTTCTCTTCTTTATGTTGTCATTCAGCAACTTATTACCCTTAACCTACAAAGGAAAATCAACTGATTGTGTATGGGAAGTGTTCATGCCCAGAAGAGATCTTTGGGACACTTCAGTGCCGACTTCTGACTAATGCTATTTGTTAATGGATTTTATCTTAAAACAAAGGGAATTGAAAAAAAAAAAGACTGCAGTACGTAATAAGTACTCTAGATTACTGTAAAATCCAATGCCTTACCAGGAGCTAAATTGGCTAGAATGGCTGAAGTTTTGGGCTTCTCTAGGACATGTTAAATTACAGTGGAACCTCGGTTTGCAACTGATTCTGGAGAAGATGGCCACATTTATGTTCATTAGAGGAAGATGGTCTTGGTTGTGTTCAGGCCCTGATGCAGAGTTTGCAAACAGAAGCAAAATTTTGTCAAACACTTCTGTTTGCAAACTGATTGTTTGAGGTATTACTATACTAAAAATAAGAGGATAAATACATATCTAGCTGTTGGTGAAAAGTTGGAATATAAATCGAAGCAATGTGTATCACTTTTGGTCCTGTTGTACTCAGGAACCTTCATGGCCATGCTTCTTCCTTTGATGTGGGTGGTACAGTGACCTGCATCTGGGAGATCCATGAGATGAAAAGAGCCAAAGTCCCGGGTCAGTTCAAGTCCTTCAGGAGGCAGATGATAAAAAAGGGACTAAAAGTTTAGGAGATTTTTTTGAGAAATGCCGGTGGAAGATGGAAGGGAGAGGGGGCAGAAGTAGGTAGGAGAAACTTCAGATGGTGCTGAGGTCTGACACCTATGAAGGGAGAGGGTTCTATGGAAGGAGGATTGAGCCAGAAAAGCCTTTTCTTCCAATTTAAAGGAAGATTCAAAGCCAAGTGGAATGTGGGGCCCAGACAACCCTCAGCAGAGGTGGTGGCCCAATTTTTGAAGATTGCATCAGTGGAACCCTGGGAAGATGCTCCAGTTGAATGAATTGGTTCTCAAATCCCATATAATTATTTTTTCTTGAGTCAGTCCTTGTATTGCTGTTAGGCCAGGACAGAATTAGAAGTGCAGGAGATTTGTTGAAGGAAGTGCTTGTGGAGGATAAAGGGGAAAGTGGAGAGGATGTGCAAGAACCTTCATATAATGTGCTATTTGGAAACCTATGAAGGGAGAAAGGGAAGAAAGGAGGATTTCGCAGGTTCATCTTCACAGTGCAGTGCAGTTCTGATAGCATGTCTGTCTCAGTCACTTTTCTTGTCACTGAGACACAATACCTGACACCTGCAACTTAAAGGAAGAGGGGTTTACTTTGGCTCATGGTCACAGTCCATAGTTGCTTGGCTCCAAGGAAGGATGGCATGGCAGGGAAGAGCTGTTTATGGCATGGCAGACAGCAAGCAGAGCGAAATAAGGGAGGAGCTGGGGAGGGAGATGAATCCTTCCAGATGATCCCCCTAGTGACCCATCTCCTCTGATCAGGCTCCATCTGCCAATATCACATTTAGCTATAAACTTATCAGGGGAGTAATCCACTAATAAGTATTACACACTTATGATCCAACCACCTTCCAAAGCCTCACCTATGTGGATGTGAAGGGACATCTAGATACAAATCAAAACAATGTCCATAAGGGAAGCCCTGGGACAAAGATTGCTCATAGAGAATCCTGTCCTAGGCAAGTCAGTCTAGCTCTAGAATCCCTACCATGCTCAGTTCTTGGCTGCAAACATCTCCAGGGGATTGTGGCCTTGGTGCGAATGCTATGTCAAATCCCATAAGTGCATCAAATGTAGCTGGCAGTTAGGTCCAGTCCTCAGGGCAGTTTTTTTTTCCCTTGGAGTATTGGAGCAGGGCACCTCTGTGGCTCCAACCATCTCTGAATTGTGACTTGGAGGAGAGCTCTTTACTGATAAACAACATTAATTTTTAGGCCAGCAAGAATTAGACTTGGATGGTTTTTAATGACAGAGGTTTTCTGATACAGCAACTAGTTGTCTAATTAATACAGGAACATTGGATTAGGCAGCCTCTAATATGACTTCTTATGATCCTCACATTCTGGTATCATCTTTTGTATATGGGTTGGACTAGACAGACTTCAAATGAATAGAATATGTCAAGAGTGATGGGATGTTTCTTCTGAAATAAGATCACAAAAAGACAGTGACTGTCTTCCTCTGAGCCTTCACTATAGGGGAGCAAATGGCCTTATTGTAAATTGATTTCTGGAAGGGTCTACATGGTCAGGAACTAGTCTGATCAGCACCCAGCCAGGGCCTAGGTCTGTCCAAGGTGAGTGTGTGTGGAAGTTGAACTCCTGAGATTTGCCAGTAGGCATCTGAGTGATCTTGCAGTACAGTACAATTAATGAGCCAATGCTGGATCTCTCCCACTTGAGCCTGAACCTGGCTCCAGCTCAGGCCATCTTGATTGCTTTGTGAGATACTGGGAGCCAGGGTCTCCCACTTAAGCCTAGACTCCTGATCCACAGAACCTATGAGGTAATAGATGCTTGTAGTTTTAAGCTTTTTGGTTTGGGGGAAATTTGTTATGCAACAATAGATTAAAAATACAAGTATGTAAATGTCACTTTGGTGAGACAGTTTCCTACTAAACATTTTGGCTTGAAGGTTTCTACTGAAGGAAAAGTTAAAATGGCCGAACTTGAGAACGGGATGGAACCTTGAGGGCAGAGCCATCTACTCCAGTGGTCCTCTTCTTGGCTGTGAGGTAAGAGGGAGAGCAAGGATAAGTAAATAACAGAAAACTGTAGGGCAAGAGTTGAGAAACCACACAAGCAAGGATGACTATGTCAAAACATTGTGAAACCAACAGAAAAAGTGACCCTTTCCCTATGATCTCCAGGAATGCACAAAACCAAAAATACATGACCCTGGACTGTGTCCAACATCTTTCTGATTGAAGATTTTATCTCTACATCAGGGCCTTTGGACACCTTGATACTTTCTCTAAAAACCTTGTGTGGTCAACAAAAACTCCCCTTCCCAATGGGTGGGCTGAGTCAAGTACCCTGTTGGTCCATGACAGCTGTCAATCCCCATGTGGATCCTCCCATAATCCCAGGAATTTAAGAAACCCAGTGCCTGCCCGTCCTGGGGCCTGAGCTCTTTGCTCTGGCCAGCTCCTACCCTGTGGAATGTACTTTGGCTTCTTTCACTTTTAATAAATTTTACTCTTGTAACTCCTTCTGAGTGTCCTGCTTGATTTGTTCCAGATAACAAGAACCTTGAAACAATTCCCCAAGACCCTTCATCTGAATAACAGCTGCACAATAGAGTAATTAATGGAATTAAAAACAAAACAAAAGTATTACTTGGCCTCCACTCCAGTCAGGCAGAGTGGTGCACATGTTTGTAATCCCAGGTTTGATGGGAGATTAAGCCAGAAAGATCACAAGTTTGAGGAGTCAGCCTGGGAAATTTAATGAGACTCTGCCTCAAAATAAACAAAACAAAATGAAGACAATTGGGGATGTAGCTCAGTGGTAGAGTGCCTTTGGGTTTGATCCCAGAACTGAAAAAAAAAAAAAAAAGGAGATTTTTCCAAAAAACCTACCAAAGAGTCAAGAGTCAATAGATTTGCAAAGACCCAAGGCATCTCCACATTTAACTCACTCCCAGGTGATTCTGAAAAAGGGGTTTTTGAATCACACCTTGAACAAGCTTTAGCTGGATGTGAGGAGCAGGATACTGAGAGATAACCCAGGTTTGTGATAGTAGAGCATTATAACAGAAAGACAGGCTCTGATTCAAGAAACAATGACAAAGAGATGTAGACAGAATTTGACAATTGCCTGAAATGTGAGAAAGGAAGGAATCATTGGTAATTCTGAAATTGTGAGCCCAGTGATGGATACTGATGAGAAATTACATTCTTTGCAATATGAGAAGCACAGAAAAGACAGTGCAGGGAAAGATGATTACTTGCATGTTAGACATTGAGTTTGAGGGTGAAGGATGAACAAATAAGATGATCTACTTTGTCTATGGTACTAAGTAATATAGGTATCAAAACTAAAATTAGAAATCTGGGAAAGAGAAAAAATGAAGTTGAAAATGACCGAGAAAAAGGAGCGAGAATAGCGTTACAAGTGTAGCTTGAAATCTGCTAAAGAGGAAGATGTGGGGGCTTATGTGGAATCAGAAAAGTAAAAGAAATGCAGGTCAGGAAAAGAGAGGAATGAAATATAAAAAGAATACCTGGAAATAATCATGGTTACCTGTAAATCCAATATAGAAAATAAAAGCATGGACTTCCCACTGGCATGGGAAGAAAAATCTCCAAAAATGTTAGAAAGAAATTCTAAAATGTAAAAATATTTTACATTTTTTACTTTAATTTTTGAAATAGATTTTTAATTTTAGAATTACAGAAAGATTGTGAAGACAGAGCAGAGTTTATCTTCATACCAGTCTCCTCTATGATTAATGTCATACATTGGTGTGGGGCATTCTTTACAATTAATGAACTAAATAGTAAATCCATGTTTTATTCAGATTTCTTTAGTTTTAACCTAATGCCTAATGTCCTGCACAGGACACCATATTAGGGCTGTTAGTTGTGTCTTCATAGATTCTCCTTGGTTGTGTGTAATTTCTCAGATTCTCATTGTTTTTGATGACCTTGACAGTTTTGAAGAGTCCAAGTGGTATTTTTTTCATTATATATGATCTATTTATATTTAAAATACATATCTAAGTTTTTACTAGGTTCCTTATTGTGAATGTTAAGTCCAATCAAACTTTATGCAGTTATTACAATTCAACTCCATGTAGCATTAACTTGTCTTCTCTTTTGATTCTTCTGTTAATTCTACCTTCTTTTTTAACGTCTTTTGATCTTTGGAATATTGTTCAAATATTGGTTGATAAATATATATTCCTCCAGCAATTCCCACGATGCCAGCAAAAAGCAGCCGCGGAAGACTCAATCTTCCAAACATCGTCCCAACAAACACAGCACAACACCAAGGTGGTTTGGGAAAGTTATTTTTCACATCCAGCAAATCTCTTCAGATATTACACACTTGGGAGTTGCGCCATCCTCCTGCCCGCAGCCCAGGAGCGCCGAGTCGGCCCCCGACCAACCGACAGCAAGAGGCGCTGCCACTCCGCCGGGGGCCCTAGTGGTATTTTTGTACAAGGTCTCTCAATTGGGATTGTTCTGATGTTTTCCTCGTGACCAAACTGAAGCTGTGTTTTTATTTTTTTAATGGTGGTAGTGGTGGGTTGCACTAGAGAAATGAAGAGCCATCTTAATTGTGTCAAAGCAAGTGCACAAACTATCAACATGGCCTCACTGTTGCTGTTAACCTTGATAATCTGGCTGAAGTAGGGTTGTGTCTCCATTGTGAAGCTACTTCTTGTCCTCCTTTTTAGTTAGCATCTGTGTCCCTGAGACATAACAATATTATTGTAATTTAAAATAGATTTTTTAGCACTTCTTTACTTTTCTGACACTGCAAAATGTCCTAGACCTATCTTGTATATTATTGTCCTAATTTTAGTAACAGCCATTGGGAGTCCTGGCTCTTTGTTTGGAGGACAGCATTAGAAATAGAGATTCAGGGACTAATTGTGCTCACAGCTGCTGGACTCTAATGGCTTCCAGGTGCTTTCAGCTCACTTAACAAGGAGATGATTTTGTGTACTTTAGCCTATATGTCTAAATATTTATAAATGTATCTATCTGTATCCATATTACACTAAAACAAATTCATACTGATATCTCCAAACATAACTCACAAGGATCACTGTTTCTATATCATTTTATTTACATACCACCAGGATCATTTTAGTCACCTTTCTGTGTATCTTAATTTTATAATCTTTGTAAGTCTTTCAAAATAGACTGGGGAAAGATTGATGTTCTTCACCATTTTACAGATTAAAAAAAGAAAAGGTGAGGCTAAAGAAAATAACTATTTATAAAAGTTTTATAGCATTTGGTCAATTATTTTGAAAAACAGATCACAGAAATTTTTATTTTCTTGAGAGTTGAAATTGACTTCCACATAAATTTGTTTTTGTCATATTTTTCCTTATATATTTTCTTTCTTGGCTGCCAAAGATTTCTTTTTTGTTTGTTTTTAATTAGTACATGTCTGAAGACATTTTGTCTGTCTTCTCATATTTCTTTTCCTCCCTTCTTTTTTTTTTCTGCTGATGTTTGTGGGATTATTATAGTGGATAACTTTATTGCTGGTATGAAGACCTCTTTAGTTAATATCTGCTTTTCAGAGACATCCTCTGGCCATGGCTAAGTATTGGCCTCTGCCTCTGTCACAGGACCCAACCACCTCTCTTTATTTGGGAGGGGAGGTTTCAACTTATTTGGCCCAGTATCCAGTTCTCTGGGAATGGGCTGCAGTATTGTTTACAATCCAGAAATTGATATACAGAGAAAACCAATGGATAGCAACAATGCTGTAACTTTGGCTAAACAGTAGTAGTAAAGTCAGCAACAACGATAGTGTCTAATGCAAACTAGATATTGATAAACTATAAGAACCAATAACATACCACCCTTTACCATAGAAGAGGGATCTATGATTATAGTAAAACCACTGAGAAAAACCAGAAATTGACCAGCAGTAGATATCTACCAGAACAACTTTACCTCCACTAACAACAGAAAAATATTCAACAGTAATGTGATATAGTTAACTATATACAGATTCATAAAACTTAATGGTTATGCTAGTAAGGATAGAGAGTGTGAGGAAGAGAAGCATGAAAAAAGCAAAATTTGAAAAATTAAGTTATGGAAGATGAGAAGAAGGTGATAAAATTGAAATAAAGGATCCTATTAAGGAGTAAAAGGAAATTAATTGTATTAGAATTAAGTAACAGAAAAAACAAAAAAGAAAAAAGAGAAATAAGAAATGATAGGGGATGGGGAAATAGGTAGAGTGAAAGGTCCTATCATCTTCAGTGAATGTAGACATTATATGCCATAAACATGAACTAAGATTAATACCAACAACAATGAAAAGGGGGAAAGGGAAAGTAGAGAAGGAGGGAGTGAGAGAGAAGAAAGGGGATTAAAAAAAAGAAACAAGCTGTATTATGTACATGTACCAACTCACCAAGATGATTGTAAAATTCATGTACTGAAACATGTACTAATAAGATAAAAAAGGGAAGAAATAGTGAGTACACTAAAGGAAAAAAATAGGGGAACAAAATAAAAGTGTGTGAAAAGAAGAGAGAGAGAAGAAAGAAGTCTAAAACAAACAAACAAATAACAATAATAGTAAAGGAAAAAGAAAACAGGAAATAAAACTCCAAACTCTGCACAAAAACCAATAGAGGAAAAAAAAATTAGTAAAAAAAATTTTCCTACTTATTTCCAACTGAATGGTTTCCTTTCAGGATCTGCAGTCTTTGGAATCCAGCAACTCACAGTCCTGTCTGTCCCTCAGCATAGTCTTTGGGTTTGTGAGGTGACGCCCTTGCTCAGGAGGTCCCCAGTCTGTAAACCCCAGACAGTCCGGGCTCAGTCATGACCCTGCTCACATTGATGCATGGAGAAGCAATCAGACCACTGGTCTCCGCTGGATGTAGGCAGCAGGATGGGGGCCCAAGCAGACTGCTGGACTCAATGCCATCACCTTCAGATCCAGCCACCTCTGAAAGCCGCATCTGCCGTACCTGGACTCCCATCTTGGAACACAGGCCCTGTGCTCTTCCTGGCTTGGGCTTGAACTTCTCAGAGGATCTCAGGGGATCTGTGTCTCATCCTTACCCTCTCTGTGTCTGTCTGCCATACTGTCTTTCACCCAGTCTTTGTGGTAGGGTAATACTTCAGTCCTGGAGAGAAAGTGTAGTATAGATGTTCTGTGGCTCAGTCTTACACAATTGGCCCCTTCCCAAAATGGCACTTGATTAAACTTTCTCTGGAAATCCGGCAGTTCTGCACTGGATTTGTTTTCCAACTCTGTCCTGCCGTGAAGAAATCATTCTTGGGGTAAAACCTCACACCGTTTGCAATTTACAAGAGCCATGGGCTTCTCTTGGGGCAGGCTCTGCTGACCCATCTTTTATTTCTCCCTGAAGCCCCTGACACCTCCAGGCTTCCCTCTTCTCCAGGGAATTGGCCTTGTCCTCAATCAGGTTTGTCTTTTGGTAGTTGCCTCTGTGACTGAGGAGTGCCAGGGTGCATGAGGTGGCATGGTGGTGGTGGTGGATCTGCCCCAAATGTTTCTTGTAATCAACTTTGGACAATATAGCCTCTTTTTATACACAGAAACTCAATATTCCTTTATTTTTATATTTCTAATTTTATAGATTTTGTTTACTATCTGTGCTTTATTTAACTTTTGTCATAGCCTTTGGCTAAAAGCAATAGCATTTTAAAATCTAAACTGCCATGACATTCATTACCGAAGTGTTCATGGTCAGTTAGGTATAATCTGGGGATATTCTTTAGAGAATGAACCAAACTCTGTAAAGAAGCAGCAGGGAATACATTATTTGTCCTAAGATAATCATATTTTTTCCACCTGTGGTTTATGAATATAGCATTAAATGAATACAATGAAAAAAACCAAGGGCAGCCATCTTTTCTGAGATTTGATTCTGTTCAGAACACTTAACACAATCCTATAGCCATGAAATTTAATGTGTAATAGAACTAGAGGAAAATAATAGAATTATGAGTAATAGAACTATGAGAAAAATCCATCAAGATATTAAAACTCTGTACTAAGTATTTGGAATGGACATAATTTTGTTATACTTAATTTAGGTGTAAGAGCACAAAACACTCAAACATTTCATGAAATATAATTTTTAAACTTAGGAAGCATACAATTTTGAATTTATATTACTAAAGCAAGAAAGTGAAGCTTAAGTGGCAGGCAGGTATGTGGTCAGGGTTTCCATGTGTTCCGATTCTCTTCCCCGAGCTGAGAATCTAAGGTCATGTTATTGCTGTCATTGATTTAAGCGTCTATCAGCAACTTCTCAGCTCAACACTTTAGAGATTCTTGGAGGAAGATTCTAATTAACTCTCCCTAATAAAGAGTATATGAACTTCACATTTCCTGATGGAAACAGATCTCTATTTCCTTTCATGATGAAAAATGCTAGGATAGCTGGGGATTTAGCTCAGTGGTTTCGCTGCCTGCTGTGCAAGCGCAAGGACCCGAGTTCAATCCCTGGTACCAAAAAAAAAAAAAAGCGCTTCTGAAAAATGCTGGGATAGTAGAGATGTCTGGTCTGTAATCTATTGTAATCTAGTCTCAGGTACTTTCAGTAGCTGTTGCCTTCCAATGGCCACTCAGCAATTATGGTCATTATTGTAATGAAGTTCTTGCCCACTCTCTATACCCCTGATATCCCTCCAAAGAAGGTCAGTTAAATAAGGTTCCCTCTAAAGTACAAGATCTATATGGCCCTGGTTCAGGAAGGCTTTGATTCCCATTTCTGGGAAGTCAGCATCAGGACACTCTGCATAGGGTCCAGGATTGTTATTTTCCTCCATGTGATCCATTCTAGTATATTCAAATCCTGGAACTTGAGCTTGGTTTCACTCTTGTCCCATTATGTTCAGGTGTCTGATCTTGCTTTGTGCCTGGAAGTTCTCTCTCTTAATTTTGTGTTTCAGGTACTATGTTAAGGAAGAAGAATAAAGATATGAGTACAACCATTCATGATCTTAAGGGGCAGAGTTTGGGAGACAGATGTATAAACAGATAACTAGGCCACACTTTAGAAAATATAGAATTAAATTTAGGTGTATGTCTCGACTATAATAACTATTAACATACCTAAATTGTAGAAGAGAGGACATAGACCTAGAACATCCACTTTCTAAAGTCACACAGTTTAAAACATCAGAGGTGAGACCTAAGGCCAGGGTCTTTGACTTCAGCATGCTATTTTCTGAGGTTGTAGTTTCCTCCATCTTTCCTTTCAGGGACAACAACTCTCAATTGCAGATACTGAGAATACTTAAGTTTCTGCTTCTAGATCGATGCTAACTGTGGGATTCTGCTCAATGCCGGCATCTTTGCCACTGGGCTCCACCTGACTGCCAGTGCACACCTACACATTTGCCCTACCTGA